ATTGTTTATTATTAATTTATATATTATTATAATATAATGTAATATAGAATATAGTATAATATATATATAATACAATATAATGTATATAATATGTAGAATATAATATAAGTAATATATAGAATATAAAATAATGTAATATATAAAATATACCTTTTTAACATTTTGCATAATTTTTTCGCTTTTTCGGAACACTAGTTAACCTATTCCCTGACGAGAACAAATTGCAATAATCCAAATTTCGAATAATCTTTCTATTCGATAAAAATCTCATGTCACCTTGATATTCTTAAAAGATATCATGTACGTTTGACTTCACCATGTTACAGCCGACAAGGAGACAAATTCATCGACCTACCACACGTGCGACCTTCGACTGAGCTACAGCTGAGAAATTCGCGACGATCGAGAAAAATAATTTTCTACGCGTTAATGAAACGAGCATGCGACTCTGAGGGTCAAGGTTACGAAGAGTTACTTCGAACAGAGACGTAAACAGTAAACACGCTTAACTTTGATCCGATTATTTGCTGAAACAGTATGAATGAAGTCATCTTGAACTATAGAATAGTTCAGTTAAAGTTACACGAGAGCATTAATTTAATCATGTATTGCTTTTCGGCTTCCGAAAAAAATTGAATATCTTATCGACGTTCGGTGATTCCGAGAAGAACGATGGACTGATCAGTGACTTTCTACAGACAGCGATATATCGAACGGCTGCATCATTGCAGACAAACAATTTACAGTATATTTTACAGTGTAATATGATTTATACTATATGAAATAATATAGAGAATATGTTATGAGATATACAATGTAAAATAATATATGCAATATGTTATGAGATATTCAATATACAATAACATATATAATATAAAATAATATATACAATATAATATAGATATATGAAATATATAATATGAAATATTATACACAATATAATATATTATTATGTACTATATTATATTCTATATAACATATTATATTGTATATATAATATAAAATATGATA